CCCTGAAACACACTCACTAGCAGTGTGGACGTGGAAGGACTGAGAGCAGTCCCAAATCTATCCCACCCTCCCTGTCCTCCATTCATTATGCATGGTTCTGTAGCCTATTAGGGGCCAGAGTATATGATTTGTCTGGCTGCAAGCTCGCCATCACACACACAGAATTAATAACAGTTCAGAAGAATAGCCTACATACAGTTCTTTTCATTGCCTAAGACAGACTTCTACAAGCTGACAAGAGACAGTTTCTATATAAAGTTGAGGCCCTAAGTGTATAACTTCAGGTGTATAACTATGAGGACTACACAACGGTCCAAGGTTTCCAAGGGCCACACAAGAATGTACAGTCTTTTCGGCTGCACTGTAGAACTGGTGGATTTTTGGTAGAAGTATTTTTTTCTTTCTTTTTATGTGAAACACATGACTGATTATCAAAGTGTTTTCAACATCCTCTATGTGAAAGAAGAGGTGCACTTGTCCTACAGAACACAGCAGTGTTTACAATGTGGTGTGCCTCATTTCAACTCCTGAGGCTCCAACAAAGGATTTGAACAGAGCCAGTGACATGTTCGTGCCCTGTATGACCTGGCAGTTCAACAGCTGTAAAGTACTGCATCACAAGTAGATCTCCTGGATTCAGAATCTTACTTATGTAAAAATATAGCAGTATTATCAGCAAAATGCACATGGAGTATAAAATGTAATAATAGTACTTCTACAGAAAAATATCCTGTGTGAGTGATACACTATCATACTCAATACGACATTACTAGACTGGTAATACTAATAATGCCCATTGTTTAGTTCATGAATGACTTGTTTTGTGAAAAGTGGTCTGCAGTCAGTGCCATGTTGCTGTTTATGTACAGAAACACCAGTGTGTTTGTGGGTCTGTGACCTCTTTGATAACCATGCAGTTTGTGTTTGGACAAAAACTCTGATCTTTGAAGGGTGAAATCTATGTAGGGCTGGTGTAAGAGTGGTTTCAGCCACCTTTTTCATGTTACACTGAGTAATTGGATCCAGTATTCATATAAAATATCACTTAGTAGAGCTTTAATATTCAAAATGTGTAACATTTTCTTTGAAATTGTTAACCCTGCAGAGAGGCTTTCTGATAAGCTCGTACTCGCTGTTTAAATTTCAAATGACTGAGATCTTGACTGGCAAGGGAAAGGTCTGTAAAGCTCTCAGTCTGTCTGCTGGGAGTGATGGAAGCAGACAGAAGCAGAGCCATCAAGAGTGGCTCAGAGGCAGAAACAGCCTCCAGATAATTTGTGGGTCAGGGGTAGTGAGCAGTAGAGTGTGAGTGCTACTGGGACACAAGCCAGGGCTTGATCAATCCTGGCAGGGTCACCTGGGCCATCCAGGATGTCTGATGTTGAAAGCCCAGAAAAATCCTCAGTGGTCCCAGGATACACTGCTGATTATGCAGGCCATAGGATCAGTTCACACCAGACGTGTTTGAAGAATAATTTGGTAGTCAGAATTTAGGTTTTGCCAGTGCCCATGTAAACAGATCAAATCTAAAGCTGTCAAAAACATATCTGCCCAAGGAAGAATTTTTTGTCCAACTGCGTAGGTAGCAGTGTTGTAATGGTGTCACTAAACAAGTCTGAGTCGAGTCTCGAGTCCCAAGTCCCCAGTGTTTGTGTCAGAGTCAAGTCCCCGTTACACGAGTCATCAAGGTCTAAATTAAACACAACTGACACAGCTCTGAGCATTTCAAAAGGAGTCTACTTACCGTGTGACCAAATAGCCTAACAAATGCACTCATGAATGTGCATGCACACACAGCCACTTTGATCAAAGTGTGGTGGGTACAGCATGGTGCTGGTGAACAGATTTTAATATCAATATCTTATGCTAAATTATTATGGCTCATAACAAAAAAGAAAAAAGTCAAGTCACGAGTCCTCAGTCAGGTCATGAGCCTGAGTCCTGGACCCGAGTACTACAACACTGGTAGGTAAGCAGACTAAATAGAAACAGAGTTACAACAGCAAAACAAAAATAAAACTGAAAAAACACATCACGCCATCCACCAACTCCCACCATTGTCATGCTCCAGTGACTGTTAGCTGTGCAGTCATCCTCGCTGATGAAACTGTCACCAAACCAAGTCTCCAAAAGTCTCTAGACAATAGCCATGACAGCATCATTCATGAGCCAAAGCATCACAGTGGGAGCTAGTGGAACAGCTAATTCGCTGCTGCAACCCCTCGTCCCCCTTATGCATTCATTTGTTGATGATGTCTTTAGCGATTACATCAGCTCTATTTTAATAACAGAATTGTCAAAAAACTGGAAGTTGTGAAACCCCTAGTTTGCATCCTTTTGTCAGTGTAAGAGATGATTTGATTTACAAACTGAAATCCTCAATATTAGATTAAAAGCCTAATATTAACTTACAGATTCTCCACAGCAAAATGTGCTGAGATATAGTATTGGATTTCCTATATTTCATTTCTGTCATCGTTCCCAAGACGTACCCGCTGTTCCTGACAGGAGACAAAGGTCTGAAACCCCGGCGCCACTCCAAAACCCAGCTGGTCTATAAATGGCGGCTCCTGCTGGGTGTGGATCTGAACTTTGATCCCTGCTTCAAACGATGTCTCATCTGTTGACAAGAAGAAGTTAGACATTTACAACAGGGACAGTGATTTGTATGCACATGCTTGCCTGCATCCTCTAACCAGTAGCAGTTGTTACTAATCAAATGGAGAAAAAGCTTTGCTGAGGTGCATCAAACAACATAATAAACACGATAAATTATAAAAAGCATTTAGTTGGAGTCTAATTAGAGCTTGAAAAATAGTCTTAGGAGTACAGCAACTGGTTATTTATTAATTACATCCATTATCTTGTTTGGATGAGAAAGACACTGTGGTCTTTCAGGTGGTAACAATAGTGTAGCTGGAACAAAGAGTGACAGCATAAAGGATGTGGACTTCCTAAGAGTGGCTGATGACAGAATGTGCCCCACAGGAGTCTTGTTTACTGCAAGAGGAAATGAGAATGGATAGATAAATTAATAAATAAATGATGATGAGGATAAAAAAAAGTCAATACAGCGGACAACTTCCCTCACTACAGCACTCGACTGTATAGATTGTAAATGAAGCAGATGGACCTTTGTGATGCTGAGATCGGGGGAACATCACAATGATGCTGTGGCTCAAATCTATACAGTGCAAATATATTTCTACCTGGACCTGCTTAGCGTGAGGACGGCGGTTTGGATTCAAGAAATGTATCTCCTTTGAGCACTGTCTTGAGGATAAAGTAAGATGTCTATTTCCTGTCGCATTTCCTCCCTGCTTGTTACTTGGTGTCATCCTGCCAAGCTTTCTCACTGTTTTCAATTAAAGAGCTCAGGGATGCAGCTGGAGTGACAGACTGTTGCACATTGCTCTTCTGAGGCTGGATACAAAGATATTTTCTGCTGCTGCCAAGACAAAAGCTTCAGGCTTGGAGCAGCACATATACATAAGTAGCGCCCAAGCTCCTGCTCACAAAAGCGCATGTCATCTTTTCATCTTTAAGTCATGGCCATCTGTCATCCTTACACAGTAAGAGTAGTCAAATTTGGGCTGAACTTTAGAATGAAATGGAAACCTGAAAACAATACAAGCAGGTTATTTCACTGCCTGTACTTTGTTGTGATAAAAATTTCACATAATGTTTTAGCAGAGCAGTTGTTACAACCAAGAGTGATTTTAACAAAAAAATTACAACTTTGTCAGTAATATGATGGGAAATTAGACTATGCAAGGTAACTTTCACATGCACAAATACACATTTTCTTGGATTTGTCTTTGATTTTATCCCGCTGTGCACTTTTGTGATGATTTGATCATTATTAATGAAGAACATGAGCTCAGTGGTTATCTCTGCCTCATAGCATGAACGGTGGGAAAGCCACAAACCCAGCAGTGTGGTTTTGGTGTGTTTGTATGTTCTCCCTGTTCTCCCATGTGCTTGGGTGTCCTCTGGGTGCTCCTATTTCCTGCCATGGTCCACAGACATGCAACTTAGGTGAAGTAAAAACTGTAAATTGACATTGGGTGTGAATGTGTGTGTGTCCATTTGTGTCACAAAGAAGCAGGAAAAAAAAAACACAGATGAAAACGTGAGGATACTCAGATTTTGCTTTATTTTTTACTGGTAACTACTAGTTTAGAGAAGGGGCTTAATTTATCAAACACAGAGTTTTGTGCTTAAAAGATGTGCACTATACTTTCTGCACACATTTCTTCTTGTGCTTGAGCATGTGCATATTAGAACCACAAACATCCAGTGGTGCACAGGTATATTCATGGTGAAAACAGATTGCTAAATTACACACAAACCCCACTTTACTGACAGCTGTGTAACAATGGATATGCTGTGAGCTATTGTTCCTGAAGACAAGGTAATCATTTGTGTCAAAGTGGGATTCTGCCATTAATGCCTCCGTTTTTCTGGCACCTCTTGTATTGTATCACCAATACAGTGGCATCATGTACAATAAACTGGAGGACCTGTTGGTGACATTTAATTGCAATCTGAAATCATAATTAACACTTATGCTTTGGTACCAATCATTTTAATTGATGTAACTAAGCCAGGTATATTTTCTGTTATGCTGAAAATGTTAAAACAGATATGTATTATTGCACTGAAGTGTTACTGTGTCCCCTGTCTTTTATATCTACTGTAGCTCTTTATTTGATTTATCATATAAAGTGTCCTGTCCTGTCCATTCTGATTTATGACCATGGCTATCTCAGGTTCTCAGCTGAGAAGCATTAATGGAGAGAAATTTTTTTGTTTGCTACTTTTGTCCACAACAAGCAATTCCACATTAAAAACTCCTAGGACTTGACTAAACTACCACATGGAGACTGACCATATTTGGTCTGGACATGTTTCTGTATGTAAATGTATGATTATGAGCAGATGGATGAGATTTATTAATGTTTCTTGCAATAAAGTTGTGCGTGTACATGTTTGATAAATACCAATTGTCTTGTATGTACCGACAGTTCCTACGCTCACATTCAGATCTTGTCCTACGTGTGCTTTGATGAATGAGGCCCCAGGTGTTTAAACTGGCACCATTCACTGCAGGGCATCCAAGCAAATTAAACAAACAGGCAATCAAAGCAGTGATAAAAGGATTAATTAATAGCCAATCTGCATCATTTTTGCATTAAAGGTTAAAATCTTTGGAAAAACAAAGTGTGATATGATGGAAATTGATGGATTGATATATTTAAGTTACAGTGTCAATAATCCAACAAATCAATGATACTAAAATAATAAGTATATGGCTGTATTTCTATTGCAGTTACTGCATCCTTAGGTTTTCACCACATTCCTTTTTGTAAAAGCCCTTATTTTTTCGTAATCTTACATAAAGAACATTTTATATTAATACTATTAAACCATTTAGGCTTGGAGTAGATGCAGCTTTATTTTTTCAGTATTACACTAAGATCACATCTTTGTGCTTCGTGCTTCATATTTAATGGTCATTGTGTTTTTGTGACCATTCTGACCTTACTGTTCACATTCACATAAAATATTTATGTATAGTAAACACACAGCAGCATATGCAGCTGCATTAAAATCAGAGTTTTAGGGTCTCCTGCACCCAGGAGCCTGAACTGTGTTGAGTAGGAACCCTGAATGGAAGTGCCTTTAGCCTCCCTAGGGCTTGAAGCCTAACTGACAAGGAATACCATTACATTACACTACATTACAGCATTTTCCTGATCAATATCCATCTATTTTAAAGCGATTAGTTGATAATATGTGGACACAGCAGTAACATTTCATGAGCAGAGAGTGTATTTTTCAGGATTGTCACTCCTAATTAAAGAGTAAAGAGCATTTGAAAGAATTTCACATTTTTAGGTGCACAAGTGAATATAAATTTGCATATAAATTTCTTATTTGCTCGAGTGCATGCACATGGTGACTACACTAAATGGATTTAAGGTTTTACAATTACATCAAAAGGGCTTGCAGTGAGTGCAATAAAGCCAAGTCAGGCGTCTGACTCAGAAAACAGAGGTGACAGGTTTTTCCTATAAGATTCCCAGAGCATCATCACTGTAAATAATGGTCTCGTTTGGTGTTTAATTTATTTTTAAAAAATCTCTTTTTAACTTAAGGCAAACATAAAAACCAATCTTGTGGTTTTAGCTGAGGTCTTCAGAACTGGGGATGGGATGTTTTATGTGCTGTGTCCTACAGGTAAGCTTACCAGTTTCTCCCCAAACAGGCAAGTTGGCCGTTGCCCATCCCACCCTTCATTGTAACCATCAGGGGTCGTCCATCTTTTCCTGAATTAAAGGTGTAGCATTTTCCATAGCGCGTGAATATCTGAAATACACCAAGAATAAAGGATTTTAGACACGAGAGAAAAGAAATAGTCGGGCTACATCTCAGTCTAACCCTCATTTCTGATCCTGAAGTAAATTCCCTGTTTTCAGTTCTGTGCATTTTTAAGCAGTAGAGATATTAAGGTAGTGCTGAGCAGGGGACTGTTTCAAAAGCACATACATGTGGTCCTCAGAGGTCACAGTGTTGAGACTCTGATGACAAACTCAACCCCCTTCTCTCTCAGTGCTGCATAATACAGTGTGTGCTTGGCATGGCTTCCATTTCAGTGGGATATCCTCTGCCTAAGAAACCTCACACAGTGACTGCTGGCATATAAGCACTGTTAATCTTGCAAAAAGTCAATTAAGTTATTTTTAAGTTAAGACACAGGCTGTTAACATTTAACAGTGTATTGATTTACATTTTAAATACAAAGCTATTCTCATTATTAGAGAAGAAACTACAGGTGGGCACAAAACATTTCTGTTTTATTATGTATTTGATTTGTTCAAATTGATTGTCTACAATTATATTTGCAGACTGTATGTTTTTGTTTTCTTCTGATTTTTTATGTGAGGCATATTGAATCTTCCTTCAAAGGAAATAAATTTTGCTTTGTTTTGCTTTAGGACACACACACACACACACACACACACGCACCTGCGGATGCAACTTGGAGTTAAAGCAGAGCCACTGCAGAGTGCAGCGAGGAGCTGTGACCTATTGGCAAACATATGATTGCCAGTAAACTAATGGCTGTATAATCAAATCACAGACATTAGGTAATAGAAAGCCATGGCCGGAATCCAAAATAAAATGTTCCTTTACTTTGTCATCAGGCTGCATGATTGAAAGCCTTGTATCAAATCCTCCTAGCACACAATTAACTTATCATTAACCTTTAACATTTTGACTTTTATATGAGGAAATGGCTAAAGGAAACAAAGGAAGGGTTCCTGTAGAAGAAATAATAAGAGCAGAGAAGTAAACTAAGATAAGTCTGTTCTTCTTAGTCCTCCACACTTTGTCTGAACACTGTATGCACAACATATAGCAATGATAAGGCCTCAGTGTAAGATAGCTGCACAAATAATCACATCATTCAAAAAGCTTTTTCTTGCAGAGTCTGCCTATGAATTGTGCAGCTTTATTTATTGTGAATATACTGTGATGGCCTTGGGAACACATAAGGAGGTGTTTATTACAAGGGTGACATATGAGTCAGACATTAGCACTTCATGACAAATTACCTAAATGTCATAAACACTAGAACAGATGCATATAGAACAAACAAACTGCTGAAAAAAGTTATGTGAATCCTGTTCAGCAAAGTGTGAGGGAAAGAATGAAGCAGTAAATGGTATACTATCTCTTTGGGTGTGATTATATACTGTAGGAGCTTTTAAGACAGGTGAAATGTAATAAAAACCTTCTGATAGTCGGACACAAGATGAGATGTGACCTTTCAAGTGGCAAAACTGAGTCAAAAGCAGAGGCTGCAACCCCCGCCTATGTGCAGTGACTCCAGAGCAGGATACTAACGTCAATAAAATCCCCCTGAAATTCATCTTAGTCCCCAAGTCACCTCTCACCATAATCAGATCACTGTTTATCATTTGGAATATAAAGGCAGGGAAATCTTATGATATCATGGTGGCACCTGCATCAACTCCACAAAACCTGTGACAATAACAATGAGCAAAACCTGCAGAAAAATGGCTCTTTGTTTTTAGTCTGAGACGGTTTTAAGCTCACTTTCCCTGCAACAGCCAAAAAAGTCAACCAACAAAAATCAACCGATTTTGCAGGGATGATTATTTTTTAAAGATTTGGCTCATTTACAGTTCACTAAGACCTGTTTTTGAATAGTCAGAGGAAGAGGCAATGTTGCTCACACTGAGAAGAGAAAATTATTTGGTAGATCAAGACAATGAGCGCTGTGATAAACTGGTGACCTGTCTAGGGTGTACCCTGCCTCTTGCGCACTCTCAGCTGGAATTGGCTCCAGCCCCCGCCCCCCATTGTGTCTGTGCCTGAGCATGCATGCACATTTGCACGAGAATATGAATGAGCACGCTTAACATGGGTGTGTACATTGTTTGTGTGGATGTATACAGCCACCCCTGCCTGCCATCTGTGTGTATGTGTTGAATGACTACAGGAGGCCTGTAGTCAGAGTTGCTGTGGTAACCAGGAGATTGCGCTGGCTGCAGTGAGTGAAGAACAGCAGCAGTAGGTGCCGGCGCTGACCTTGGGGAGTCTTCACTGTGTTCTGAAGCTGTGAGGTTTGTGCTCGGTCTCTACATGTTTCTTTATGTCTGTCTATCAAAGAGTCTGTCTTATTCAGTGCTGGTGTTAGTGTTTGTGCAGCACAAAATGTCCCAAATGCATCCTAACAATTACTGTAAATGTGAAGCTTTGTATTATTATTATGGAAAAGTGCAACCTTTTACCTGAGGCAAAACCTGCAGCATCACAAAAACAAAACCTTGTTAATAAAATTCAAAGAAAATCTCTAAATGAATAAATTTTAGATGAAGTAGATGCATAAGAGCCTTATCAAATAGCTCCACAAAGTGATGGTAAACATTTAAAAATTGCTGCTCTTAAAGGAAAGGATACATATACTGCACCTCTGCTACAGCGCAGAAAGGAACCACTATCTTGGGAAATAAAAGAGGGACATCTGCCTTTAATAGACTGTAACTTATAAAGATACCAACTCAAATTAGCTTTGTGGGAGCGCTTAAGCTTATCATTTGAGCCTTGAATGAAAGTTGGAGTGCAATTTTACACAGAACAAGGGAAGTGTATTTTTTTCATGCTCTGGGTAAAAAGGTTCAGGGTTGGTGTAGAGAGCAGGAAAGGTTACAACAACTTAGACCTATTCTCATGTAAAGATGGGTATGTCAATAATGGTTTAACTTTAAAAATCCCTAACCTATCCTTTAACCTCACTGCTGAAATATATTTAGCATTAAGGTTGAGCAAATATTTATAATGCCTACAGTGAGCAGTTCTTCCTGAGAAAGATTTTCTCGTATTGTTTATGGTTCTTCACTGAGCACTGAGCCCAATATATTACATGTAAAATAAGAACCACTCTTCTCAACTTGTAAACACATAAATTAAATATTCATACCTGTCCCACCTATGAGGGGAAACAATAAGAGAGACATCACCCTCTCTCATTCTCAGAGGGTGTGGAAATATCTCACTGTCTCTCTTCGATAAATAATTCACAGACAGACAACCCAAGGCTGCTGAGATGGCCCTCAGCTATCCTTCACGTGACAGTGTGACAAGGATGCACAAGCTGTTCCCTAAAGATGCCAGGGAACCACTTTCCTTCCTCTCAATTGATCTCAAGATCACGGCTGAGCACAAAGGTGCAATGTGTTGTGACAGTTACAAAAGCACATCTATGAAAGATTGTCAGGGTTGACCTTGGCAATGAATCAGCTCAGCTAAAAATAGGATGCGCTTACATGTTCACTGGGTTATATGTAATTCATTTGTGGTCAACAAATAGATCAAGTAGATAATGAAGTGTGGCAGTTTACTTCTGTGCTGTATCCACTTTGTGTCATTGTACTTCATCTGTATAGGGTATAATAAAACACAAAGAATATAAAGTATAATATAAACCAATGCAAAACTAAGAACAATAAATATATCACGAATTTAAATAAACTCTTCTAAGCAACAAAACAAAAAATGAACACTACTGTAAGCTTCACAGAGCTCTCAAAGACAATCTCACACTACCTTTCATTTATCTGTAGTTCCCATTTTACATATGGGGCTCAGTGTTCAGCGGTGCAAGAACCATACGCAGTAGGGGATAATCTTCCTCAGGAAAAACTGCTTACTGTAGGCATTCTAAATATTTTCTCATTCTTAATGCAAAATGTATTTGAGCAGTAAGCTTGAGGATGGGTTCAGGATTTTTTCAACCAATATTTACATACCCAAATGTGCAAAATCTGGACCTTAAGGTGAGATAGTTTATCAACCAGTTTATCAAATCCTACAAGTGATCAAGGAAGATCAAGGAAAAGTTTTCACATCTGCGTTCTATGGCAACTGATAAACTCTGTCTACTAATGAGGACCAAGTGATATGAAAGCTCCAGAACAGCTACTAGGAGATAGTTTTATCAACTTTACAAATATAATATTTCTCACAGCGCAGGACATTATATTGCAGAGGGTTGTTCTGTCCATCTGTTCCACCTGACCAGTTGTCAGTGAGCAGGTGTGAGTTAAATGTGTAGGTACAGAGACTGAAAACATACAGGGAGCGCCAAGAGAGGTGTCAAAACACATATGGCTGCACTGCTTTATGGACTAATGATGGTACTGTTTGTAATGTAAAATAGACCAGATTTTTGCTGCTAGGCTTGTTAAAGTTGCTCTGATTCATATTTTTATATGGGTCAAATTACCATGTGTATGTCAAAGGTGCTGTTTGTAGTGACAAACCAATAAAGAATTGTCTTTTGTTGGTTCAGTCTTACTGCTCTTATCAGTGTTATTTCCAGCTACAGCATTGTTCAATGTAAAAAGCTCAAAAAAATCCCAGAACACTATCTGCCCAGTACCAAACAAAAGACAGACAAAGTTGGGGGATAGCTGGTAAACACAGGGGAGCGTTTAGCAGCTGAAGAGTCGGCTAGTTCCCTTAAGAGTCTGTGATGAGAAAATCAAAAGTCAGGTGAATATTGGACTTCAATTCATCAGGTGGACACAAACATGAGTTTAGATTAATGCCAGTGTTGCTCTGTGGTCTGTTAGTGCGTTTAGTAACGCTGTCTCCATAATAACTTAATGGGACAATAACATGTCAGTGTTTACAGCTTGTGGTGGTCAACTGAAATAAATAATAGGAAATTCAGAGGGAAGGTGGAAATCCGTCGATCAATAGGGTAGTAGGGCGCACAGGTGGGACAGAGACTGACTCCATGTTCTCGGACAGAGTTCGTAACCGAAATCAATGTC